TAGGATGAATATTTGGCATATGTTTCGACTAAGAACACACGTTGCTTAATACTGTACACCATATTATCAACGTCAATCCGCGACGAGAGACGCAATGAAACTGATTCGCCTGTGTTCACGGGAAGAACACGGACCAGTCCGGCCGACGTCACCAGATCGCCAGCCGACCACGCAACGCAAGCAAGGCCGTTACAGCATAAATTGAAGACCCGGTACAATGAACACTTAAAACCAAAAGAGCGTATATACTTACATGTCCTCGTTATGACTGCAGATAAACTGCATTACACTGAATACATCGAACCAAGAATCTTTATTCTGCTTCAGTACAGTAATCAAAGGATGTTGTGGGGATCGAAGGCTGAATGGACACCGGTATGATTTATTTTCAGAGAGTCTTGCTTTAAGATCAAGAATCAACAAAGCTCCAATAGAAGATATTACTCCAGTGTAATTTCTGAAAATAAGAAAGAGGCAAAAATACAAAGAATATATAACTGCAAGATATTAATTTCAAGAAAATGTCTACATCATCAGAAATGTCTTGCGCTATAAGTGTATTTACATATGTACAAAGCCTGATAAATAAATAACTGAACATGTTTTAATGCAGCAGCTGGGAATTATGGTAACTTAAAACATGTTACAGCGCATGACTACATGGTTCTGCAGTAAATGTTTACAAAGTGAAGCTTTCGTGGCGACTGAAGTTGATGAAAGACTCTCGGGCAACAAGCCACGTCAGAAGAAATGGTCCATGCACCATTCAGCCACCTGACACGGTTTATCGCCTGAGAGTCTTTCATTAGTAAATGTTTATTTTGTGAAGTGTTTTGTTTGCATGTCAAAATATTCATAATAAATTTTTAGAATCAAGACTCAGCATTAAATTGTTGGTATATTTGGGGAAAAATGCTACTTACATTTACAAAATATCATAAAAAATTTAGGGAGAAGAAAACTGAGTATAACTGAGGTTTTTGTATTGGTTAACTATTTGAAGATGGAATTAAATATGTTATAGTTGAAAAAAGATATAGCTGATAACTTTGAGAAATGATAAAAATCTGGAAAAAATTACTAAAATGGTAAGAAATAAGTCACTTCACTGTTCAGAAAATAGCAAAAGAACTGAACACGAACAGAGAATCTGTGAGAATGATTCTGATTGAAGATCTCACGATCAAAGTGTGAGCCAAAATTGTACCCAAGGAACTCAGTGATAAGCAAGAAATGAAGAGAAAATATCAGCTCAGACCTTTTAGCAAGGTTGTGGCTCTAGCAGTCAAAATCAGGATTGAATAGAAATTGTGCAGAGGCAGTGGGCTTGTTACTCATTACTCATAAATGCACACTTCAAAGACAAAGAAACCTCCCACATAGGAGGAGGCGAAGGCTCGACTTAACACAATTACTTGATTGTCAAGAGCTTGTACTTAAAGGACGGCATATAAGAAACACCTAAATTACCATTGTAAAAGCAAAAATATGAGTAACATATGTAAATTCCTTGGAAATGTGGCTGTGAGGTTGCGTGCCATGTTAGGTGGGTCCTTTGTGACCACAGCAAGGCACATCCTCTGGTTGAGGACAGAGAAGGCCTCCCGATACAGAGTGTAGCTGCGAATACGTTGAATAAATAGTAGTGGGCAGACAACAAGGGGTGGTCCTCCAGTTTGGGTGAATTTTATTATGAAATGTCTAAAAGCACCTTGGACCTGTTATCCAATTGGTGCAGATGATACAGTGGCCTCAGTATGAAACTGACCACTCACCTTCTCATAGTAGTCTGGAAAGCATGGCGTTTTCCTCCATGTCTCATATATGCCTTCATATAATGGTGTTTATCCACAGGGAGAACCATGCCCCTGCATTCAGTTCTTTCCAATAAGAATTAAACATAGTCTTAGATATCACATATAAATAAAAATCTATCTTGAAACTAAAACAGTAATACAAACCTGACTGTGGGCAATGTTGCTATGAAGCTGGATAAAGTTGGTATTACTCCAAGTTCACCAACTTCAACAAGAGTTACAACTCCCTGGCAAGCTGTAATACTTATAATGGGATCAGCATCTTCACATTTCTCCTTTAGTAATATCAGTTCTGGCAGCTGACAAAAATGCAAAAAGTTGTAAATGAAAACAGTACATTTTAAGTTAATTATCTTATCTGAGTGATCTGCAAGACTAGAACATGCTTGGCATGCAGCTTATTAATGAAGTCTGTTAACACTGTCAACACAGATGAATACAGCTTTACAGAAAAGGAAGTCTGTTAACACTGTCAACACAGATAAATGCAGTTTTACAGAAAAATACACTTCGGTTAGTAAGTCACTTGATGAAACCTTCTCCATCTCTTTTTAAGAAACAGCATTACAGAAAAGAACATATTTTCTATAATACATTAGTTACGCACATGTGAATAAAAGCAATGCACCACATAAAATACACAGTACAGCACAGTACCTGTTCATTACAGACTATGTTAGTAGAAAAGGCCTGTTGAAATTCACAAATTTCTCCCTTTTTACCATTACCTCCTTCTACCACCTCTCTCACATTCCTTTCAATGAAGAACTACAATGAAAAATATCTGCCATATTTTTGTCACCCATATGAAAGCATTTCTACAAGTTGCCTAACAATAACAACACTTGTAAAGTAAAACCCTGTGCCATCTAGCATCCTTATTGAAAACTTATAGGTCTATGTGAGTGCAATATGTGTAGCATAACACATACAGATTTTTGACGTACTTTGTTCTGAAGATAGGCAGAACTCAAAGGATACTTTACAATTCATTGCAAAGGTTATTAGGTAATAGATGAGTTAAGCAATACACTGGAAAAGTGAACTAATTCTTCTTCTTCTATGGCTCTCCGGTCCGTATTCGGCCTCCTCAATTCTCCTCTTCCATTCGGCCCTATCCTCCGCTGACTTCTTCCAATTTCTAATCCTCAGGAGCAGTGTGGCATCCGTTTGAACTGCATCCTCCCATCTGTTCCTGGGTCTTCCAACTGGTCTTCTTCCTCCGACACTTCCTTTGAATACCATCTTTGGAATTCGGATGTCGTCCATTCGAATCAGGTGACCTCCCCATTGTAGTCTCTTGATTTTTACAAATTGTGACAATGGTATGTCTTTATATAATTTATAAATTTCCTGATTAGTTTTTATCCTCCATTCACCTGCTTCTTGTGTTCGGCCAAAAATTTTACTCAGGATTTAATTAACTAATTACTTAATGACACTATCTCAACAGCAGGGGTGATTAGTATTGAATAAGTTAAGGACTGAATTTGGAACATTAAACTGATATATCACATAATTTATTTATTATTTAATGATTATTTTTCAACTGCAGAGGTTATACAGCATCAGATGAGTTGAAAAGATGATCACAAATAGTGAGTTAATGATAATTATAACAGGGCAGTTGAGGTATATCCCTTAAGTTACTCAAATGAGATTCACTGACACAGACTAAGGAAAACCATGAATAACCTGCTAGCATAGACAGTAATTTGACCAAGACTCAAACAAGGTTTCTGCCAACAATAAGTATAAATCTAGAATATAAAGGCATTGCCACCTTACTGAGTTAAATTAAATGGGCCACAGAAGAAGTGATTGCAGGTTACTTCAAGGTACTGTCCCAAACTGAGTAAAATCATTAAATACTCAATCAGTCCAACCCCAAGACAAATAAATCTTGATTCATAATTACTCAATGAAATTTCTTATCAGAACATATTGTGTTCGTGCCCAAAATGAAACTCCCAAGAACAATAAACAAGTGATACATTTACATACAGTGTGTCCCAAAAAGATGTATACACATTGTAATACAGAATATTAACCTTGCACGTATACATCTTTTTTTAAAACTGTATTTATACATGTGGTGTAGGTTACAACAGTGAAAGCAGTTATGTTCATTCAAGACTAAATGTAAACAATATAACTACAAAACATTGGCTTAAGCAATCTAAGTTAATTTGTATGTCTTATAATAATGTTCTCTGAGGCTCACTATGTTAGCAAGTTAGATTAATTTATATCAGGTAAATTTAGTATAGTTCAGCTTAGATTAAAAAATTTAGTGGGGATGCTAGTTTCACCATACACCTTGAATACTCATTTCTGAAGATTCACAATAAAGAGTATATTTTCAAAGTTCCATGCAACCTATTATAAGGCACAAATTTTCAGGCTTCTTTGTTTCATGTACAGCTAGATATCTTAATAAAGCAATGAAATGGTGCATAATATTAAACAGCCCAGTACAGTAATACATTACCTGTCATTAAAAATGTACTGAATATGGGAAAGCTATGTTTGATTTATTAAAGT